AAACATTTTCTCTACAGGCTTCATCTGTACACTACTGATCTTGTTGGCACCTAGAGCAGTCTTAAAATTATTTGTAGAGTTCCAATTTTCCAAGTGGAAACATTAATTTTTTAAAAATAGATACTTAATAGTTCATTAGCTGATATTACTGACAAGGCTTTTTAGTTTAAACCATCTTTCTGGTACGATTTCTGAACAACAATCCATCTTTGAACAACAATCCATTAAACTCTTTTGTAAATTATTCGCATTCTGATGCATTTTGAGTAAAACTGACGCAACTAATTTTAAAGTCTCTCCATTAGCCAGGACAGTACAATCTTAATTTCATTTCTTCACTACTGTTTCTTTTCTGGGAACAGGAACTATTCCCAGCATTAGTAAGAATCCCTCTTACAATCTAACACTTGGTACTAAAGTTTTTGCAACTTGAAGTACATCTGTATAAGAAAGATATTTTCAAATAGATTTGAACTTAAGAGAATAGCTGGGTGTATCAAAAAAAAAAAAAACATCCCCAAAAAACAACCCCCAAACTATGCACTCCAAAGAATCCACTAGCTAAATCAACGTTAAATTTTCAACATTCACCCTTCAGATACTAAGAGGAATTAAAAAACCAAACAATACAGAACTATTTTTTCATACTGTCTGTATACCCAGACAGTTCCTCAGTTTGTCAAGCTAAAATTTTCATTGTCTAGAAATATCAGAATTAGAAATTTTTGAAGGACCTAAAAGGAAAAAAAAAAGACGTTTTCAAGGACATATTACATATAACATGATATTTTCATGGTATTCAGTAAAGTCTGGATGTTTTACCAAAATTTATTTTCACACAAACACGTAAGTATTAGTTTTAGAAAATTATCTAACCCTGTACTGTACTGGCAGTGATGCCTCTGAGATCACACATTCAGAGAGTCAAAAAGAATAACTACGTGGTATTTGTAGTTTGAAATTGTGTCCATCTGAACCACTTGTCTCTTGTCACAGGACAAAAATAAACAGAGAGAGCTAAAGTAAAAATATTGACACCAAAATTGCTACATGCGTTGTATTTGGTAGTTTGCTAATTTTTGAGAAAACAAGTTTGCCTAGACATGTTCAGATCACTGTTTTAAAGGCAAAAGCCTAAGACATAAAAGTTATCAGTAACCAGACATTCTAAAACCATGCTAAATCAAAAAGGAATGCTGACAAGCCAGATCCCAGACTCCATAAATATTAGCAATCATACCACACAGAAGTCACTGCAGTCAGTATGTAACTATTTATGAAAGAGCTGCCCTATCCAAAGGCACACAGTAATAAAGCATGGCTATTGTGAAAAAAAGCAAAGGCCCAACAATGTTTTAATAAAGCATAAACCAACATTCCTCTTATTGCAGTGAAAGAACAAGAAGTTTGAAATTTTAGAAATGTTTATGTTACAGTGAGCACTGAAAGTGTTTAGCTGTTTCCAATTACAAGCTGACCAGCAACTCAGAGGAAATCCCTACCATTTATACACTTATGTTGCCAGACATAATTTTCTATAAAATTAATTATGTGAAAAATTGTATTAGCTCCCTAACACCTCTCTGTGGTGGGCAGAAAAAATTAAACATATACAGTAGGCTAATCATGATATTAGGTGAAGCTTTTTTGTTGTTGACCTTATGAAAATCTGCATAAATTATAAACTATTGTAAGTTGCACTCTTCTCCATGACTTTGTCATTTACCATAACCTTGAGAGAATCTAGCAGCATCACATGTCTCTAACTCTGCATATATGCATGCCATGTCACATAAGAGACAAATCTCTCTACAATGGCTCCTCCTCCATGAGAATATATTCCAGCCTATATAGGCATGCTTCAATTGTGAGAAACAATGATCCTGTCCTGAACCATCTGAAGCAGGATCACAAGTTTAATAGAAAAGCATAAAATCCCACTATTTGTTTGGCTTTTTTACTTCAAATGATTCTTGTCAGTTTTACTGCCTTTGAGAAATAATTTATTAATCAATCCTAACTCACAGAAGATGTCTTAAACAACATCACCACGTGGCAAAGACAAACTCCCGAACTGCAGAGGTCATTAGAAAAAAATCCATGTATTTTTCTCTTCTAGATATATTTTTACAATACAGTTCCCGTAAAATGGAATTATCTGAATATATCCACAAGACCAGATTATTATGTAGCTTCCTCTAGTGGTCAGTCCTTAAATCTTGTTGCTTCTTCTATTTACTCTAGTTACTTCTTACACACAAATTCTGTGTTTAAATGCTGTAAATTTGAGAAGGCATTAAAATTTATACTGCAATGTATTTCTAATACAAAAGCTAAGGAAACTAAGCCAAAACATAGAGCAAAACATTTGTTAGTGACACTAAAACAGTGAACTAGCTGAATAGTGAAGTCAGCAAAAATCAGAGTTATTAGTTTTCCCATTTGCCCCTTGTGAATATGCATTATAATATATTTAGTTACATGGTCAAGCTTGACTTTCCCACCATGAGATTCAGGAAGCAAAGACAGATGTTCAGTTTTTAGCTGAGTCTTCAAATATTTGCTATGAATCATTCAAACTTTTGTTTTGACCCTGAAAATTATGTATATGTGTGTGCACATTTTAATAAGCCTTGCTGCTGTGCAATTGGTTTGTTTCTGCAAAACTCTGCTGAGGGAGGGGGCAACTTAAAAGACACAGCAAAGAATTCACCAAATGTGAAAGCCACAGAAAACAGACAACAACTTGATGTAGCCCTAAAATACCACAAGAAGAATCAAGGCAGCTCTCTGTTATATGGAATGAGAAATTAACAGGATGAAATTTTACACTGAGCAACAGGAAGATTTCTTTACAGGTTGAAGTCATTAAGGAGGAAGAGAGAAAACCCAAAGGTAGAAAGTGACAATTTCCTGTTAGAAAATATATTTTACTGAACAACTCCACTGTTGAAAAGAGTGTGATGACATAACATAACAACTGTCTCTGACTCTAAAATAAGGTAGTTAGAAATCCACTCAGGCAATTTAACTGTAAATAGTCCCAAGGGTTATATTATCTAAATTGTACAGAAGTAGAAAATTGTATCATCCACGTGCAGTTTGAAAATCTGTGAATGAGTAACTTTTATAATATGTCTTTTTTCTGTGAAACAGCAGCAATAACTTTTATGTCTAGCTGAATGCCTGAGATTACCGCCTTCTTACTTTTGCCTTTGCACTTTTCTGCACTCTGGAACCAAAAGAAATGCCCCTCGACCTTTTTTCTTTTTTTTCCTTCTCTTCCATAAAGCCTGTCAACTTCCATTCAGCTTTGACAAGGAAATTAGCTTCCCAAAACTGACACCACCATTTATTCATTCATACATTGCCAGCAACAATGCACACTGCCAGTGTAGCAACACCTGACAAAACATATAATGACAGAGAAACTTTTAAAATTAAGTTGAAGGACAAATTAATTTTTAAACATTACAGCATATTCCCCTGGGAAGCCTACAGGTAGCTCAACAGGGCTAACCTCACAAGTTCCTTAAATGCTCATCCCTCCATCACAGAAATTCACATGGAGCTTCCACACACTTGGACAAAATAATCCAAACCCACAACATACAGACAAAACACAAGGGCATGACTGAAGCAGCTAAGTATTACATTTCCTTCCTTTCTCTCTTTCTTTGCAGGACACTAGTCTCCATGTAGCCAGCTAATGCAGCTTGCCCTAGCATTGCAGCTGTCATTTGCTCCCTCGTGCCGCATTTAGGAACGTGCTCACTGTGACTGTTTCAAAAAAGAGGTTCTCAAACCATTCTGTGAGATTCTGACCATAAAGGTACCTCAGCAGTTAAAATACCTGATGCTACACATCCCTCTGCTGTTGGTATCTGCCTAACCTCATTCATTTTTACAGCTGGAATCAGCTGGAATGTGTTTTCTCCTCAGGAGAGCTGGCAGCAAGGGATTTACAGCACAGTAACTAACCTTAGGTCTCAAGTTTGCTTATTCCCTGGCATACCATTACATCCTTGGGGAAAGATAACACAGCTGACAAAAAATGTCACAGCCCCTCAAAATACATAATGTCTGTCCAAATTTGAAGAGTGCTGCCAACTCTGTTTATGTTCCTGGCTTTCTCTCAGAACAGCTCTAAAACTGTGGACTTTGTTAGTAAAATAAGGAAGGAGAAAAACTTAGCCACTTCTCTTTTCAGAAAAAGTTTTGTGCCTGTTTCTTGTCACTTTGTAACAGCATTTTAGCATTATAGCAACCTGAATATGCAGTGGTGCTGGGGTAGCAATGCAAGAGCCTAATAAATAAAATATGAAAGCTGCAGTAGAGAAAATCCAATAAAATTTCATGCATGCTTTTCATTTTTCATGCTAAGGATCAGAATATTAAGTGTATTTCAGTGCCAAATTCTGTATTAAAGTCACTCATCATTCTCTGTATTCCATTAGAGTTAAAAACTCCAACCAAAACCCAGCATGTCAGAGACAGTACAGTCAGTCAAGAGTGTGATAACCTACTTTTGTGTAAGTGACAATTAAGTGTCTCTAATGAAATGCTTATGTTTTAAACAGGCAAGACAAAGTAGAAAGATACCCCTCTTAACAGCACGGAACTGAAGGTAAACAGGAGCAAGAGACTCCTCCTCCTACACAAGACTCCTCTTCCTACACACATTCTAGAGTATAGCACAAGTTACAGAATTCATATGGCTCTGGAAAGGATGATCCTGATGTTAATTCTAAAACATCAGAGTATTTTTATTACAGGATTGTTTCTTAACTGCTCAGGTGGTGGCAGAGTAAGGATCAATAAACCTCCTCATATATAATAGAACAGAACATGAAAAAAATGGTCAGTGTACCTGTTTTGTATTGCTCAGCTTCAAAAAGAAAAGCAGCTATTCTTTGACTAACCTCTGAATACCAGATTTTAAGCTAAAGAAGTACAGACCTTTTCAGGCAAAAGATCACTTTAAACAATACACAACTTACGCATCTCTTCAACCACGTCTGGATCACATTCCCTGTATTTGTCTATTTCTGTCTTTAGCTGCTCCTTTTTCTGCCGAAGGGCAGCAAGTTCCTTCAGCAGAGCTGCACGATCCACCTGAAGATTCAAAAGATGTTGGGAGATACAAAAAAAACCCCAAACATTAAAAATAGTAATTATCACACAAAGTTGTATTTTTTTAATAAAAACATACAAATTTAAAAGCTGCTTTCATTACTACTTTCACTCTATGAATCACTTGAGCATTTTATTTTATTACATAGAATTCTCAGTGACACTAAACACTGAATACCAACTGGAAAGAAAAAATTTATGGCCAAAATGGATCAACAAAAGAACAATTTTCTACAACCTTTGAACCATGGTTTAACAAACTCCAAAGAGATCTGTTAATTATTTGGCTTAAAGGTTAAGCAGTATTTAAAAGTGCTAGTCTTGCAAATAAAGATGGCATTACAGAAAAACCTACCACCCACTCTTCTACAAATTGAAATGCTGTGTATGAACACCCTCTGAATTTATTTGTATTCTTTCTTTTCCCACACCATTTAAGAGCAATGGTCTCAAAAATAAATTCAGACATTTATGACATGGTAGTCTTTGTACACAACCTTGACCTCAAAGATTCTATCAATCAATAAGAATCTGCAGACACTGACTCAACATGAGATCTCCCACAGCCAGCTCAGCACATACTTCTAATTCAGTCTGTAGTTACAAACACTGGAACTGGCTGATATTCAAATAACTCAAGCTAGGGTAGCCTAGAAGAGCCAGACTGCATGAGTTGGTAAGCCATTGAGATTTTACCAATGGCAATCTCCATGGTAACCCAGCAATGTGAGATGTTTGTGGATTTGGGGTTTTGTTTACAGTTACTGAGTTTCTTCCCTCACCTCAAACTTCCATATTCCCAGTGCTTTTGCCAACAGCTTGGATTCAGCATGTTCTGAAAATGCAGAATGGAAATCAAGTTTCCAGATGCTGAGGTATGGAGGTGAGATGCTTGGAGACCTACATTGCAATCTAGATTTTTTAGGACTTCTTCCTGATGTATAATCAGGAAGGAAAATGTTGGAAACATCAGCCAGAACAGGATTTCTAGACCAATAGCTTTCTGTAGGGCAGGCCACATGCTGGAGAAGCCCAAAGCTGAAACATTTTGTTTGAAAACACAAAAAGCACAACTATGTGAGAAACCTGCCTGTGATTCCTGATTACAGTCCGTTGCACATGAATGAATAAAGAATCCCCATTAAAGACATTGCCAAAAAGCAGGTTTTAATTGAAGTTGTGGAACTGTAACTTTAACAGAGTTTGATGGTAAGGTTCACTCTATTCCTTACTAGACAAATGAAACATACATAGGTAAAACCTAGAGTGTTTAAACAAAACACTTTGAATTTGAAGATTTGGCACTTTCCTACAAAATTCAATTCCTCCTGAAAGCTTCTGGCTGTGCATGTTTATTGGAGGCCTAAATCACTTTAGACTCAGCATCTCAATGCAAGTCAACAACTTAGAGTACCATACAAAGTATTTCTTACTAGTATGTTGGTTATGACAAACATGAAGTCTAGATATATTTTTTGCAGTATTAACAATCTCAGCATGCAAAGAGCACTGGGCTTACGTGACTGCTCAGAACAGTTATTTAGGAATCTATATTACAAATAAGTTGAAAAAAACCTAAACCAACATCTAAGTTTGTAGTTACCAGATTTGGCAGCTCAGCAACTATTGGTAACTCTGGTACACGCCTCTGGGTAGTTCAAGTTGAAAGATATTTTTACATCTGAAAATACTTGGAAATACTACGTTAGTATTTACAAGAACTAAATAGTTGTAGCACTATTTTCTTGTAGGATTACCTCCCCCCAAAGCAACTTACAGTATCTTCACGTCCAATTTTTGATTTCTCAATGCTTTTTTGTAAAGCCTCTTTTTTCTGACTGCTTTCAGCAAACTGATAAAGAAAACAAAGAACAAAATCAAACTCTTTCAGTAACATATTAAACACAGCTATAAAATGTACATACATATTAATGTATTTAAAGAAACAAGTGGATATGCATTTTTAAAATATATGTATTTTTTTAAAAATTAAAATTTAAAATACATGTACAACTTATGTAATAAAAATAAAGACAAAATAAATACAACAGTGCCCAAATAGAAATCTGAGGCTCTGAACTACAGAGAAGAATTACAGAAAACAACTTCAAGTCTAAAAAATTTTGGCACATAATCTTGTTATATACTGCATGTTCAGCATGGGACTAAAATTCTATTTCATACCATAATCTGGCATCTCTATGCAAAGGACCCCGTAACATGGAGGCTTTGGATCTGATGATTTCCTTTGGTCCTTTTCCAGCTGTCCCTATTCAATGGAAGCAGTACAAAAGCTGCAGTAGGTCCACCTGCTCAGCGGATACCGGTGTTCCCAAAGTCTGGTATGCCACTGGCATGGCCCCAATCCCTTTTACATGCTGATGAACAGAAGCCTCTGTTCAAAGGCATGCAAAGCTGTGGCCCCCTTTTACTGTGTGGCCCTTGCACTGCTAGACCTCACAGAGAACCCTTCCTTCCTTGAGGCAGAGGAATATCACAGGGCTGGTGTGAACAATCCTTCCATTTTTCTGTTACATCAGGAGAAATAATTTGCCAAGAGACATCTCTCTCTGTTAACCTGCCACCCATCTTGAATCAGGACTTTCCAGTTCAGTTGACAGTTTTCCAGAGATACCTTGGAATCTCTTAAGCTGAGCAGGAGTAAGACTCGACCCTCAGTATCAGACAAAGCACTTGGAAATATTAAATTAGATGAATGAGAATGAAAAAAAAAATCTAATAAAATATAGTTGGAAAACCAGATACTGCATTGAAACCAACACAAAAGAAAAAAAAAAAAAAAAAAAAGAAACAATAGCATGCTTTTTGAGTACCGTTTTAGTTTTAAAACTAAAGCACCAATCAGTATACCAGTATATCACATCAACTGTGAAAAGACCAGCTGTCAGAACTCAGCTTTTACTCTGCTCTACCCCAAGATCCCCCACATGAATCCTCCACTTCTACATTCCCTTTCTCACTGAGGACCCCACTGAGTACAAAAGCATTCCCAGATATTTCTTGCAATCCCCAGCCTTGATAATTTAGCCATATTGTTAAAATAATGCAGCTGTATTATAAAATGTATTTATACAGTACAACTCCTTTGGAGGTATAATCATGTCTCAATTTCAATTTAAACTAATGTTTGATCCATATTTTCAGAATATTAAATGTAAATGTATGATAAATATCGGGCAGAGCTTACTGCCAAGTCTTGGAGATCAGTCATAACAGTAAAAAGAAACTCCATACTGGTGGTGCATAAAGATTAGGATACAGCCCAACTGCAGCTCACCAGGTTTAGTGGTTCCTTTCACAACTCAATTTTTAAAAATTATTAAACTGCATGTGTGAGCATGCATACACACAAGAAAGTCTCCTTTCTAAAAGAATGCTTTAGTTTTCTTCAATTTATATCGTAATTATACTAATGGTTAAGAAGTAATTTGAGGAAAAATATGTCCAGCTGTTTACTTGGTGCTCTCAGTGGAAGAAACCACAGAGGCAGCATAGGTTTCACTAAGCGGCTTGAAGTACATCAACATCTTAATTTTGGTAGATAGTCAAAGAGCACTCCTTCCAGGCTTTCCACAAAATTCTTAAAAGAGGTGTGTTAGTCCCCACATGATGCCATACTAAACAGAGGTATACAGTTCAGAAGAGGGTAAGTACTTAGTTGCAGTTTGCAGTTCACCAAGTCCAAGGAAGACAAACCCCAAAACACATAATTTGGCATCTCTGAACACAGGATTTTTCTGGAACAAAACCCACAGAGGAGACAGAGAAGCCAAGGAGCTTACCTAGACCCTTATACTGCAAGTGCAAAGAAGCCAATGCTCTCTGCAAGAGGGGTCATAAAGGTGTCACTTTCTCTGGTTTTTTTTTCCTTCATATTAATTAAGTTCTTAAGAAATGTTTCTGCTTTCTCTAAAATTGATGTACAGAAGGAGCTCTCAAGGCTGTGCAAATCTTAGAAGCTGATTTCCAGCATGAAAGCACCCAACAAAGCATCTTATAATTTTCTTGATCCTCTATATTCCACATCATTTACTAATTCAAGAGACACTAATGACAAACTATGGGAGATAAAGGAATTTCTTATATTCTGTCCTGCATAACATGCAAGGTTGCCGTGCCATGTGGTTAGAATACCTTCCTTTCCCTTAAAGCAAAGATGATTTTTACATAATCTCACTTAAGATATCGCTTTCTTAACTCACAGATTTTAATTGCTTGAGTATCTTCAGATTTTTAAATTATTCTTTAATTATTATTTCACATTAAAAAAAATCTGAAATAAATTGACACCTCAGCTCTTTGTGCATTATTTTGAAGTCATGGTGGTTATCCTCTATAACAACAAATAAAGGCTGAAGATACAGAAAGGAATAGCAGAAGGAGGCAAGATGTAGAAAAAGCCCTAACACAGGACAAGGATTCAAAGGGTGAGGAACAGATGGCCAGGGTTTGTAGAAAGAATCTATGACTATGGGAGAAGTGGAAAGGCTTGGATACAGAGGGGGGAGCACAGCTGAAAATAACTATAATGAAAGAAGGAAAGACAGCAAGGAAAAAGGAGTCGGAGGAAGGATGAATACACATGATACAATACTTAACTGAAAGGCAATTGCAAATGACAAATGACAGTTTATAGGGCATTAAAAAAAAAAAAAAAGCAGAATATGCAAACATTGTGTATGTATGATAGCAGACAACCACATCTGGACAAATACAGTGACTTATTTTCCCACTCACCAGCTGTAGAAAAGCCTGACTGCAAAGAAGCACAGTAGCAAATGGAATATTTCAATCCCTGGAGCAACCTTGGGGACATTTTTCAGGGGAACCGGTAAACAATATCTCAAGGAATAGTAACCATTCCCAAAAGCAGAGAGACTGGTCCAGCGATAAAGATACTGTGTCCCCTCTATGTTTCTTGAGAGAAATGTCTGGGCTGACACAGGAACAACCTTCTGCCAGAAGTGTAACTGACCAGGTGTGGCAAAGAAATACAGAGATTCTACTCCACTATAAAGTTTTGTGTCTCCGATCTGACTGCTCTGAATCAGCACATGATTAAGCAAGGTGCAAGAAAGCAGCAAAAACATGATCTAGGGGAAAGAAAAAGGAGAGGAGACTAAATAATTCAAAATTAAGAAGTTAAAAATGCTCTCTACAAGAGAGCATTTTCATGTTTTCAAAACACAGTGGGAGCCTGCAAGAAGACAGTTTAATGAAGTAAGTAACTAGCATCTATAAAACAGGAGAGTTGGAGAACAATTTCTTTAGTTTACAGACCAGTGTGATCAATTAAATGGCTAGCCTTAGACATTAATTCAATCCGAAGTCCCCCAAAAATCCCCAAAGAGATGATTCTTCCTACTCTGCAAAGGCATCACAATGTTTAGCTATACATGTTGCAGCAGTTTGGGTGTGCAAAGTGCCATGTGCTGGTGATAACCACCAGTTCCATCACAGAACTTGGGGTCTGGTTTGTATCAAAGAACACAGATTAGACATTCCCACATAATTTATAATCTACTATGAACACATTAATACCAGGGCTCCACTTCAGAAAGCCACTGATGTACATTTGGAAGAGGAATGTTTAACACCAACAAACAACAGCAGCAGGTTTCCGTTCCATTCCTTCTCAAAACCTGCCTGACAGACTTTTATTTTAGAATAAAAAACAATTTTTTTTTTTCTCCAGCAAAAGTTTTTGTTGGTCCTGTGCCTTCTGATTCCCTGTTTTTAACCAATCTAACCACAAGTATCCCACCAAACATGTAGCTTGTCTCACCCGCATATTAAAATATCTACAAACCTAGTATAAGCCATGCAAACCCAACCCCTGGGTATGTTCACTGACCAAGAATCAAGCCAAGGTCTCACATGCTAACCACCAAGAGTGCTCACAGCTGTTAACTCACTATCATTATGGTCTGAAAGAGAAATACCATCCATTTGGTTTTCTTTCGGCCAAACACTCAACCAAAAATGGTATTAAAAACTACTGCTCTTGTGAGCACCACACACTGTGGCACTACAGAAGAATTAAAGACATCCATTTAAAAATTATTTCTAACTTGCAAAGTTAGAAATGATTTCTTTATTTGCTTTGGGTTTGAAGTTCACTGTGCCTTGTTTCAGGCTAAAGGCAAGGCTAGTTTCCTATCAGCTTAGACAAAAGCAGTTAAAGAAGTTTAGGGTAACATTAAGCAGTAGATAGGTCTATTTCTTTTCTATGTGAAAACTAACTCACTACTGAAAAACTTTAATAGAATTGACAGAAGGCATGGAGAGAAAATACTTCATAGCATTTCCCTATATTTTAAAGAAAGATAGAAAATATTGACACTGAAAACAAATAAATAATATATAGAGAGGAAAAAAGCAAAGATCAACAGCCAAAAAACAATCTGAAAATATTGAAATCAGATTTTTGGGTTAAAAGAAAGGCACAGAACACTATAAAAAGAAATCACTTAATAATTACTGTTGACTAAAACTCAAAGAGGAAGAAAAAAATCCCGAAGGGCAGCACACTGAAGTGCAGAACTGCTTTCTTAAGTACTACACTAAACAAGCATACAGCTACTCTTTTTACACACACAGTCACAAATCCATGCTTCCCAGAGCTTCCAAATACATGCAAGCAAACTTTGCAGCCAGCTAATCTTGGTCACAACAGCGTGGAGAGCCCTCCTGTGACCTGCAGCACTCTGGCTTCTGCTCTGATCTCGGGATGTCCCGTATCACTCATGAAATGCCATTTCTCCATAACTCACCCAGTGAACTAACTACAGCTGGAGCAGCCATCAGGTCCACTGGGACCTCAGTCGGGGA